GGGGGGGGGTGCGTCGTCAGTCACGAACGTGTCATCAGGGAATGTGTCGTCAGGGGGAAATGCGTCGTCAGTCACGAATGTGTCATCAGGGAATGTGTCGTCAGGGGGAAATGCGTCGTCAGTCACGAATGTGTCATCAGGGAATGTGTCGTCAGGGGGAAATGCGTCGTCAGTCACGAATGTGTCGTCAGGGAATGTGTCACCAGAACGCGTCGTCAGCATCAGTGCTAAATGTCGATACCCAGGCTGCGGGTACTCTGTATACTTTTCTTCATAGAGTCATAGAACATCATAGAACTACATACATACCGTATGTACACAAGAAGCATGCAATTTCAGAAGTCCAAAATCAAGAGTCAAGATCTCAGACCCCACAGTGCTAAGATTGCATTTATATATTTGAAGCTGCAACTGGCTGGAGGAGATTTCAGAAGCTTTGCAGAGAGCGTCGAAAGCAGGGGCCGTTGTGAAGGGGAACGTGCCAAGCCCTCAGCTGCTTCTACATAAAGCAACAAAATCACCAAATCGAGCTTGAACAGCGAGCGCAGGGATGAGATTGACTGTAAAAGCTTGGACCCTGACCTGACACTTAATCGAAAGACGCAGGCCCATGAGTTTCTTCAATTCTCCTGGAAATCCACATTTGGCACAGGCCTTATCAACGTCTAGTGTCTTGTGCAGTGTTTCTGTTGTTCGTCGTTGCCTCACCGAGCAAAATGCTGAGGCCTGGCTTGCTCGACCCTAGCTCGATGCAACGTTTTCGCAGACACGTTTGCCGGTGCATGGAGGCTGACTTGTGCTACCAGAAAGTGCAGGCGTATTGGAAGTCATGCTAATAAGGACCAGGCCCTTCTGCAATTCGGCGTGTCAAAGAGGCTCAAAAACACTCAACGTCACAACCTGGCCCCATCCCACCAAGACATTGGGTTTCCTTTGTTCCTTTGCTGGCAGAGTGGCAAACATACGCTCAACACCTCAACACCTTTAACAGACTCTAAACAAACCGACACAGATGTGACGAAGGAAGGCTGCAGTTCAAAGGACAGGGGGCGGCTCTCCGGTCCAAGCAAAGGGTGAACCTTCGTCCCACGGGGTGCTTAGACACGAAAACCCAGGCATCCAGGGAAACGCAAAGAGGTCCTATAGTGGGAGAAGGCAAAAGGCAGGAAGGACTGAAAAGAAAGCAGAATTGAAAGCTGAAACGTTATAGTGCCAAAGGTATTTTGGCAAAGCATTCACCGTGGCAATGCAGAAAGAAACCTCGAACTTGGATCTGCAGCTTTCGATGGGACTCATATAAGACATCAAATCTTATCGACCGGCCTGGCAAGGTGTTTGTTTACTGACAGGTTCTGAAGCCACTTGGGTTGTAAGCATGTAAGATCCCTGCACGGCAATATTATGTGATCAGTTTCGGAATTGAAAAGAGAACATGATGAGGCAACCTGTAGATGCTCCATTTGATGCTCACATGAGCGCTGGCTGCTTCTATATGCCAGTTGAGACGCTACCCGCCGCTGCACGATTTCAACGGAGACAGGCTGGCATAGGTGAAGGTGTGAAGTACAGAAAGAACAGCCATTGGACAGAAAATTTGGACAAAACACTAGCAGGATTTGGGATGTCGTGGATCCTGGTCGTCAGGCTTCCCTTTGGCCCAGTTCGTGGCTCCTCAAAGCGGAAGATGGAGAATTGGGGACTTGATTGACCACCAGGCTGGGCAAGCCTGAAAACATGGTTGATGTTTAATGTCGCTTTGCCAACTTCAAAGAACCAGCTTCAACATGTTCCAACATCCTTCCAGCATTCTACAGCAATATATACTGCTTTCTGCTTTCTATTTGGATCTGGTCTGGCATCGAAGCATTTCCTTTTTGTGGCCAGTTGTGATCAGGTGCTCGGGAGGATTTTGGTGCCACAGTTCTGTGAGACCAAGCATGACGATGTTTCCAAACGCATTGCGCTTGGGAAAGGTGCATCGCACATGTCCGGTGAGTAGGCGACTCGCTCCGGCTTTGATCTGCAAACAGCATGGCGACAAAGGCAACACAGTGCCAAGTGCAAGTGTTCGTGAAGCCTCGAACTGAACAGCTGAATGCACAAAGCTGCCGTCAACGGTACAGCGAGTTCCCAGAGAATTATACAATTTTGTTGTTAGTTGATGTTAGTTGTTGGTTTGAACCTCAGCCCCCACATTGTTCGGTCACTTGCTTTTATATATTGCAGTTGTCGTAAGTGCAAGAAGACGTTGCTTTTCAAGAGCCTTCATTCAATTTGCGCAAATGTTTCCACAGCAGTTTTGCGCTTCAAGCTTTGCCCTGGACTTGTAATGACTTGGGCGATTTCGCCTCAACCTGTTCACCCTCAAGCTCAAGCTCGCAGACACATCAGCTAGTTCATCGTGTTTTTGCAGGGGTTGGGTCTGGTCAGGTCACCCGGCTTCCTTCCAAGCCCCAAAGTGTAGGACGCATTGACCAGGTGCATTAAACATACAATTCCCAGTGCGCTGAGGATAGTGTCAGATAGCTGTTGATTTGAGGCCACGAATGTTCATGGATTGGTTTTCACGCTGTACGGTACACGCGGCCAACATGGGATGTCAATTTGCATTCAACAAATATTGAGCGGCTCCAAGTTCCTGACGCAACCGACCAAGTTGACACCTCCCGGAAGGTGCTTTTTGGGTGGACGTATGTTCAGGTCCTAGACATCCACAGGAATGCCAGAGACATATGTCTTTCCTTATTCTAAGTTCAGACTGGAATGGCCGCTGTTGTCGCAAGTGCATCTCAGCCCGGCGAGTTTGCTAGTCAATAGCTAACCAATGTGGTTTTCAGACGAGCTTGGGAATGAACATTAAAGCTTTTGGGCCAGCGTTCGTCCATAACTAGTAAGAAACAAGGTACTTCGTGTCTCGACTTGAGCAGGGTCCATTGCACGTATACATAGGTAAGGCCAAGAGGGCTCCAAATTCAAAGGACCAAGAAGGGCACAGTATGAGGCAAGGATTGGGAAAATAGGCCAGCTTGTCAACATGGAGGGTTTGACCGTCAAGACTCCGAAAGAAACCGGATATATGGCCAGTGTGTCTGTGTGTGTGTGTTTGCGCCAACCGTTGCGTGAAAGATAGGTTTGTTTTGCAATGGTTTTGCCAAAGGCCAGCAGAACAAGCAAGCAGGCAACAGATGTATCGAGGGCGTGCTGCCACCAACTTGTTTTCAAATGTTGTCAAAATTTCCGTTCATGACCTCGACCATAACAAATCCATCTCATAACCCGGACGCGGGCATTTGAGCCTCAGGATGTTCATCCAACATCCTCACGAAGATCGAGCGTCATGACGTTTTTGCTTTCGCGAGGGCGTGCCGCCGCCAACTTGTTTTCGGAAAATGTCCGTTCATGACCTCGACAATGGAAAGTTAATCTCATAACCCGAACGCGGGCATTTGAGCCCCAAGGTTTTCATCCAACATCCTCACAAATATCGAGCGCCATGACGTTTGCTTTCTCGAGGGCGTGCTGACTCCAACTTGTTTTTTGGAAATTTTCCTTCAGGACCTGGAGCTAATTTTCCATCTCATAGTCACAACCTGGACTCGGACATTGAGCCCCAAGGCTTTCATCGAACATCCTCACCAAGATCGAGCGCCCTCGCGTTTGCTCTTTGTAGAGGGTCTGGTTGGTGTTGGTTGGTCGGTTGGTTGGTTGTTTGTGGTTGGTTGGTTGGTTCGGTGGGTTGGTTGGGTTGGTTGGGTTGGTTGGTTTGGTTGGGTTGGGTTGGGGTTGGTTGGGTTGGGTTGGGTTGGGTTGGTTGGCTGGGTGGTTGGGTGGTTGGTTGGTTGGTTGGTTGGTTGGCGGGTTGGTGGGTTGGTGGGTTGGTTTGTTTTGGTTGTTGGTGTTGTTTGTTTGTGATTGGTGTTGGTTGTTTGGGTGGGGCGGGGTCGGGTGGGTTGGTGTTAGCATGTGTTGGCTATTGTTTTGCGTGGGGGGGTGGGGATTGGCAGTGTGTGCGTTGGTTGCGTTTGCGCGTGTGTTTTTGTATTGTTTTTTGTGTATGGTATGGGCCATTGGCTTGATGGAAGGTGTGGCTTGGTTAATGGCATGGGTTTTTGTTATGGATGGCAGTGATTTTATGTTGTTAGTTCTTGTGGTGTCTTGTGCTTTGAGGGCAGGTGTGGTGGACACATAATCATTCATGTCAGTTGATCTTAGCTTGAGATGTGGCATGCGACATGTACATGTGCCGCCGCTGCCGCCGCCGCGCATGCTCAAGTGACCCAAAAAGGCTTCAAATGAATGTTCTTTTCCTGGAGTTGCCAGGGGCCCTTTTTCTGCCCATGGCGGCGCAGAGTAACGGCCTGCAGAATGATGCAGATTTCGCCTTCTACTTCCTAGACTTCGCCGAGGCAGTTCGCGCGTGGGTGAAGGCTCGAGCGGCGATGTTCGCGTTGATAGCCCAGCATGGTTGGGTGCAGTCTCCTTCGCTTAAGGCGTTGGGGATGCTGTGGGTGTGTCCAACGTGTGCCAGGCCCGCTCTGGCCAGTTCTCCTTTGCCTGCGCGCAAGGAGGAGTTCAAGACCACCTTGGAGGCTGTGTTCTTCCAGGCCCGCACTTGCAAGGACGATTTGGCCAAGAGCCGCACTGCCGTTGAGCCCTTGGTCCGGAAGCTCCTGGCCTCCCATGAGCCCAAGACACAGACGACCTGGGTGGAGCTCTTGGATTGGTGTCGGGCTGACTCTTTTGCGTGGACTACGCCAGGTTGATTCAGACATGTGCAGCGCCTTCTCGGCCCCTGCCGGCCTTGCAGCTCTTGGTCAAGAACCTCCACGTCAATGGTGATTTGACTCTGGCATTGCAGATGCGTGCAGCCTCTAAGTCAGCCTTGGGGATTGGTGCTCAGCAAGCGCCGGTCGCCCAGCCGCCGATGTTGGCGAGGCTGGAGGCTGCCATGCGCGCTGTATTGAGCACCATGACCCGGATTTGCGCGCACTGTTTGGACTGTGGGTCATGTCCCTCCCTTGGGCCTCTTCGATGGACGCACCTGCTTCTTCGTGCCACTGACAAGACTTTGTTCTTCGAATGCTTGCGGGGTAAGCAGAAGGGACGACGAGCAGGATTCCACTGGTCGGTTCCCCGCGAGGGAGTGCAGTTCGATCAGCGGCGCTTTCCTGGCCGAGGTCATGGCGTTGCCTGCTGATCACTCCGTGGTTTGTTTCCGGATCTCTACACTCACCCCAGCCGACCTCTTGGAGACAGGTGGCTGTGGCTTGGGTTTTCCAAGCTAACCTCGATCCCACTGAGACCTGTGCGATTGGCAACTGGCTAGACTCCTCGGAACTCAGCGGCAACAAAACGCCGCACCGATATGTTCGACAGAAGCTCGTTCACGTCACTGCATTGAGGCACGAGATGAGGCTTTGTCTTCATGTGCTGCTCTACGACCATGGGGCCAACCAGTGGGACGAAGTCTCACCTGGCCTTGCACACAGTCATTCCCGCCCTGCCGGCAGAGGAGACGGAATTCGAACGTCCATCCTTGTTCTCCCAATTCCAGGAGTTCAAGGCTAGGCAGTTTGCCGCGCGGATCGCCCACTCTTGTAAGGGTGGTGGCTCTTCTCAAGGACAGGCACCTAGGTGCCTGTGGCACCCTCGTCGAGTGTGGCTGTGAACCCAGGGAGGTTGACCCCAAGTTGAAAGCCACGCCGCGCCCTTGACCTCGCTCCGCCTGCGGTACCTCCGGGGCGCGCGCCTCCTGTGCCGGCTGCGCCCTGGGCACAGAGGGCGCCCTGAACCTACGTTCCGATCCTTGGAGGACTGCCGCAGCGAGAGGATTTGGTGCTATTTTGTCGGTATCCCGCGGGGGAGAGGCGAGTGTTTGCGCTTGTGCAGCTACCGCTGAGTCATTTCAATCGAGATCGCAGGACCGGTGTTGTTGACCAACTTCGACCGGTGGCAGCTGCTGGAGTGCATGCTCTTCATGGATGATGCGCGTCAGGATCTGCTCCCCTGGTTCGAGTTTGCCGTCCTCAAGGGCACGGAACTGCTGTCAACCAGGATCACCTTTGGTCCAGGATATCTCAGCCTGCACGGCCACCATCCCCGAGATCTCCTCCGAGGTGGAATCCTTGCGCTGTTCCTTGGAGCGCATGCTGCCTGTCATCGCGGATGCGTTGACCTCTGCGACCACTGAACAGGGCCTCCGCTGAACACCTGTTCAAACAGGTTCATACGTGCATGGGGCCTCTCCTTCGTTGCTGGAGTGTTTGTGGCCTTCTTTAAGTTGATTGAGCACGAAATTCATTCCGTGCCAATGGACAATGCCCGCGTAGGCCTGGGGCCAAGTTCCCGGGAACCGGGCAGCGCAGGGTAGACCCCGTGATGGCCCACCTGAGTCCGCCTCTATATCGTCTTTTCCTCTGCCAGTGTCTCCAGCCGGCTCAAGTATTTCGCGTATCCTTTGCAGCCATGAGGCCACCCCTATTGCCATTTTCACCGACCTTTGTGCCAAGTTCCAGCTGGCAGATGCGGTTCGCGATCAGATCTTGACTTTGGCGCTCATCAATTTGACCGAACTCCGCCACTTTGTCACCAAGGTTGATGAGTTGTGGAGTCTGCCTTTATCACCCCCATTCGTGACCTGGGCAATCGTCGACTCCAGCTTTCTCGCCTTCATCATTGCTGGACAGGCACAGTGGCCGCTGAGCAGCAGCGTGGGGGCTCCTCGTCCACGCCTTTGACACTGGATGAGGACGAGTGTTTGCCTCCCGCCCAGCGCGCTGGTATTCGAGAGCTTTTCTGGGCGCGCTACCACTTGGTCTTTCCACCCGAGTTCACACCGGGAGATCGCCTTTTGACCAAAGCTCAGCGAGCCTTGCAGAAGCGCTCTTTGGAAGTTATGGATGTGTGGCAGGTTCGGTCTATTGTCAACCTTTGCTATAGTCTCGCACCGTTGGTGCGCGCACACATCCATCATGAGGATGAATGAGTGGGAACCCAACTTTTGGAGGACGGTTGAAGCCGAGTACACCGCCCATCTGTGTTTCACTCTTCTTGTAGCGGCTAGCCATTGGGCCGCGCAGCAAAGTTTCGCAGTACTCAAGATTCAGCACATGCCGCCCATGCAATGTTCAGGCA